CATAACTTTCCTTGTAGAATTATCTACTTTTAGGTCAAATGACCAACCACAATTTGGTTGACAACCGTACATAGTGACATTGAGTAAAAACCCATCTGAGTTTTGATTACGGGATTCTATTTTCTTGACCTTTGTAGAATTGGTATAGAAATGAGCGTCGTGCTCGTTGATGTGGATTACATCATCGGTAAAAGTGATTTCGCATATTGTATAGGATAAACCTACGGTAACCCAAGCATGCACCGATGAAATAATGGTTAAAACCAGAAACGTCAATGTTATAAATGTTTTACTCTGCATTTTTTTAACAAATGGATTTGAATATATTGAACGAAAAAAATCTCTGTTGAAAAATTACATTTATATATAAAAAATTTGGCACTTGTTTCGAGATCGACAAGATAGTTCATTCAAATTATTAATGTTTAATAATTGGAAATGTTTATGTATCCCAGTTATCTCTTTGTACTTTATTATATTTTTAAAATTTTCTCACTCTTGCACTGTCAGACATTTTTATAATTTTAAAAAGAAGAAAAAATTGTTTAGTTTGATTCATTAATTTACGTGCCTTTGTACACGAGTGTTACACAAACCTGTTTAGAGATTTTAACTCCGGCCGTGGTTAATTAACCGGTTAACTAATATTGTTAAAGAATTTCCAACTTCTAAACCTGTTATAGTTTAATTTAAACCAAGTTAGGTAACTAATTATAAATTTAAATTTAAATTCATAATCAAGAAAATGACAAATTATCGTTTCATTTAATAATTAGAAAATTTTTTGTTAGAATTAACTTCTCAATGATCTCCGGAATCTCAATTTCAGACACCCGAAGATCCAAAATCAATTTCAGTCACAACATCCGTAACAAAATATTAATTCGAAATGCTGCGGTAAAGTGATCATTTCTTTCTTCAGGTTCGTAATAAAAGTTTAGTTCAGCTACTTGCTATAGAATTCTACTTAAAATTAAAAATATTTCTTACGTTTATTTGAAAAATATATGTATATAAATTTTGGATAAATCAATTGACAGCGTTCTTTTATTTAGTCTTTGTGATTTTATCAAGTAGTTCTCTGAGTTAGATTTTTCTACTTATTACATATGAAAGCGCTAAGAGATATATATTCTTGCAAGTATGTAATTTCTATAAGTTATTTGTTATTTTTTAAAAAAATAAAGTACAAATATTTATGAATGTTCCAATCCGTAAAAAGAATATATAGTATATTTCCATTAAGCAAATGTTGGTTTGCACAGTTATACGAAAAATTTAATTTTAGCTGTCGATCATTTATAATAGTATGGGATCTTTGTTTGCAATAGAAAGGGGAACTGCAATTTTACTTTTATATGCCAAATATTATTTTTCAGGTCGAGATATGTTCAGATTTAACATTATCTCATTTTTTTATTTTCCGGTGCGGGAACTCAAAGTTCCTTGGTAAAATTTTGACCAAATTCGTTAATCACAGCTAATTATTATTTGGGCAAAAATGGTCGGCACCACGTCAAAAATATAAAGAAATAAACTTGTGGATCAATAACGACAAAATTTATTATAAAGTTTAATTTGAAATTAGATTTTGGATTGAAACTTAAACTCGTATTAAAACTATTACACTATTACTGAACGCCAACAGGAAAAGTTTATATTGAAAGTTTAACAATACCGAGCCGGTCAGGTTTTTATATTTTTTTATTCGATCCACATTAAAAACATTATTTAATATTTATATTAATAAATATATATTATATTTTATTACTTTTGTTAAATTTTTTTTTTAAAATATAATCAGCATCAATTCTATTCGTTGATTTTTTTGGAAATTATTTGATGTCTAAAGTTATATAAATTTGTTAATTTATTTTAATTATTATATTATTTTGATTATGTATTTTAAAAAGTTATATTATATTATTATAAAATTTCAATAAAAATTTTGCTAAAATGTGCATATATCACTTACTTTCACTTAATTAAGTATTATAATTTGGCTAAAAAAAAAACTTTGTCATATCGTGATTGGTTAAAACAGATTTTTTATATCTGAAATTGGAATTCACGGCCTATATCTTGCCAAATTATAATAACAGCCTCGGAATCGAAATTCCAAAGTAAATTTGTTCCAGTTGGAATTGGACTGATACTTTGCAACATCACAATTGGAACCATCAGAAAATATATAGTAACGCGTATGGTATATGATTATTAAAACTCCGGTAACGATCAAACCTTTGATTCTTCCACCAGTTGATCGAGTACCGAATATAGGACAAGCTGCAGCAATCCAATATCTTTTACGAATTGATGTAGAATAGCGTTGACAATGGAAAGGAGTACCAAAGCAAAATTAAGTTTTATAAATTTTCTTCAGATAAATTAGTAAAATTTTAAATATATTAGATTAAAAAATTGAATGATTTCATGGGTATAAAAAAAGAAATAAAAATGGTTTTAAATACTACAAAGAAATAATAGAGAATCGCTTCTTATAAAAAAAAAAAATTAAGAAAATAATTCCCTAATACCAAATCAGTAAAACAAACTATTATAAAAAAAAAAAACCTACGACTATATATTTTGGGTTTCTTTTTGAGAAATTAAAATGTGAAAAATGTGACGCGATTAAGAAAAATGGGAGATCGTCATCCTAAAAAGGAAATCTGTCAAAAAAATACTTCAGTTATTTCGAAACTTTAAGTTAACCACAACCACCCACCACCCACTGCGCGAATTGTGTTCATATAGAATTTAATTCTTTGTTAAAAATTGTGGATCAAAATTGGGACAACAATTAACCGGATGAAATTTGGAATTTATTTGTAAAATCTAATTAAAATAAATTAAATAACTATAAAATTTAATACCCGAAGAAAATTTAATTAAGTATTAAATTACCAGCCTAATCTGATCCGAACTTAAATATAATATCTGCTCAGCCTAGGCCAGATTTAATAATATATAATTTTATTAAAATATAACAAAACTTCACCTTTTCTGCTTTTTTAGATTAAATTTAAAAAAAAAAATAAAATAAAATATTTCAATAATGCAACACGACAAAATAAAAAAAGATCATTTATTGCATATTTCATTATAAAACACAATCAGCTACCTAGTCCAATACCTAGATTTAGCCTTATTAGCTTAAAAGCAGTCATCCCTTCTCATTGATATCAAACCACTTTTCATCCAACTTGAACAACTACTAACTAAATCATATTGACCACTTTGTCATATTTTCATATTTGTCATGCGGCATATTTTCCGTTTTGAAATGTTGAATATGAAAGGCAATGACCAAATTTGTTATCATAAATCATGAATGAAAGAGCATTAAAATTATTTATGAAAGTTTCTAATCTAATAGTTTCTCTCATTATAATAATGGGAACAAAATATACTGTTTAGAAAGGTCTTTGAAATTAACATTATCCTTTTGTCCAGCGACGGGAGGATCAGGTGATGGTTGATAGATGGAGTAAGACTTGAACTCTTTAGGTGGAGGCACACTTAAAAGATGGCGGTTCTTAATAATTTTAGTAATAAAAAAATTCCAAAGATAAATACTATATAAATAATGTCAATTTCTTCGTTTATATAAAATTCGCATTCGCAATAAAAAAGTCCGTGATAATGTTGTGCCACATAAATCTATCAAATTTTCAATTTTTGCTAGTATTTCCAAATATAGATTAGACGTTTCTGTCATTTTTATGGATGCTTTATGCTTTACCATAAACTTATTATTTAGCAATTAGTTTATCAGACAGTGGTTTAATATATAAAAATCAAATGCTTCCCGAATCGGCGCTGCTGAAAAAATCCGCCTAAAAAAATCGGGTTTTATTTTTTTTTTCTGGATTTTTCAGTATCGGCGCATTGCCGAATCGGGTCAGTATTTTTTACGTATTTAATTATTACCTGATTTGACACAGAAAAAATCCAACCTAAAAATAGCCAATGAAATCAACAAACAACGTTTTATACAAATTAACTGACTGGTTACCTTTAATGAGGTTGTTATATATACTTTTAAAATTTTTTCTTTATTTTATATCAAAGCAACTTTAATTAAATGTCAAATTTTATTGAGTAAAATATTACGAGTAGCGAAGAAAGTCGTTTCTAATTTTGCTGATCTTGCGTAATTTTTTTTTTTTATTTTTTAAAAAAAAAAGGTCTTATTGATTTTTAATATGCTCACTTGAACGTGTTAAATTATCGGTATTTCATAAATAAAAATAAACTTAAATATTTCATTTATAAATAACTCGTATTAAACATTCAAAAGTTCAAAGCCTTTAAGCATTGTGAAACCTTAAGGTATAAATCTTGGAATATGTTTCACTCAAAGATCAATTTAAGGTACCGGATTTAATTTCTTATATCTGGATAAGCTTTCACAGTTATGAAGTTGTAAATAAAAAAAAAATTGGCATATCCTGCAATTTAACTGATCTTTGAATCTTCAATTTCAGACACTCGAAGATCATCTGAATTCCACTTCAGCCAAAATCCAAATTTCATTACAACACCCGCGTACATCTGAACAATCCAAGCAAAAAGGAATTAAAATGAATAAAAAAAAATTGCTCATCTTAAAATGTTAGAATTATCTGTTTAAAAGAATATGAAGGCTTGATTAGATATCTAAATCTTCATTAAAAATTTAAAATGTATAACATCAAAAAAAAAGATCTTTATTGAACAAAAAAGATTTCCTTATTCACTGAAGAACATATGGCTTTTTGTGATAAATTAGGGTAATATTCTTGGAGAATATTATTCTACATTCGGTACAATACAAATCTAGATATTTCTTTTTATAGTAATATTTGATACATGGGCGCTAAGTGATTTTGTTATTTTGATTTCTATACCAGGAAAGTATCGACGGTAATTTCCTTAAAGGCAATTATAAAAATGGGTTGCCAATAATTTAGGCCAATTTGGAAAAACACAATAGCAAATGCGCGTACTGTTTTTTTAGTAATGTGACCGAATTGAAAATTCTATTAAAGTTTATTCCCAAGGTAATGAATGTAACCTTGATCATCTATATTCAACACAAGAAAAAATTTATATATAAGATAAAGAATCTCTCAAACCCTTACAAATATAACATATTCTTTTTTTTAAATAAAGTGAATCTTTATCAGAATACGTGAATTATTTGGCATTAGAAGAAGATATGGAAGATTTGCTTAGTCACGTTAGCATTCGATCATTACCAATAAAGTCTAAAAAAGAACATGTTATTGTAAAACCTTTCGGTAAGCAGGCAAAATAAGTCTACTGTTTATAAATTTGAAGCGATCATCGATATAAATTCTATACTTTCAATTTCATTTCAGACACTGTCCAAGTTCGCCTTCCTATTGAGGTACTTATGTCAAATTCTAATTATAAGAAACAAAAGGATCTCTTCCTTCAAGGATTTGCTGCAGTTCAACAGCGTGATGCCGATGATCCTAGATCCTTTTGTGCAGTTGCCGGTATCCATGGTCTCCCATACAAACCTTATGACTTATTTCACGATGAGCAAGAACCTTCTACTGACTACCACGGAGAAAAACATCGCTGGGGTGGCTATTGTCACCACGGTGATATTCTTTTCCCGACTTGGCATCGTCCATATGTTTTATTACTCGAAATGCTCATATATGACGCAGCTGAGGAAATGATAAACAATAACCCAGACATGTAAAGAAAATGTTTCTATTAATTATATTATAGTTTCATTTGTGTTCAACTTGATATAAATAATATTTTACGATCTTTCTTTATCATATTACTTTCGGTTATTAAGATATCGTCCTGGTGATAAGGAAACCGAGGAATATAAACAGGAACTTGAGAAACTTCGATTTCCATACTGGGATTGGGCCAGTCCATCCACTCTCGTTCAAGGCTTACCTTCAGTCTTAACTGATGAATACGTTCTTGTTGATAATCCAGTCCGTAAAAAAATTAAAATTCGAAACCCTCTTCGTGCCTTCACTTTACCAGTAAATCTTGGAACTTTATCACTTGTCGGTGACATTGCTAACCCAACCCAAAGACCTTATATTCCAGAAGGGAATGTAACACCTTATACACCAGCTGGATATGCAACCACAAGACACCCAAGTATCAATTACATATCCAATGTGGACAAAACTAGCCTCAACGTCGTTACCTTTTGCAGCTCTGTTTTTCGTCCAACCCTTTACCAAGCTTTACTTGTCAAAGATTGGCGTCATTTTAGTAATCATGGTGACAAATATTCCGAAGAGTTCGATGAGGATTATGGACATTATTCATCTATTGAAGTCGTTCATGACGCCCTTCACGATGCGATTGGTGGAATTGGTGGTCATATGTCATACCCTGACGTTTCTGGTTTTGATCCCATCTTCTTCCTTCATCATTGTAATGTGGATCGTCTTATTGCTATTTGGCAGGCTTGCCATCCAGATGCTTGGATCGTTGGAAATGCAGTAACTGAAGGCACTTTTACCGATAAACCTGATGCACCAATTGACGAAAATACCTACCTTACACCTTTCCGTAAAACAGATGATAAATATTGGACCTCAAAAGATGTTAGGTGAGCGTATCATTCTATATTGTAAAGTTTTCTTGTAAATCATTCGAAAATTTGCTTCATTGTTCTTGTCCAATTAGAAATATAGCAGATCTCGGATACACATATCCTGAACTTGAATGTGAAATAACCCATCCAAAAATATTTTTATTTGAAATGTTGAAATATTACCATCCCAATCGTTTCTTGTAAGTGCTACTTTTATGTTTAGTCTTCTTTCATGAACCATATCACCATTAAATATCAACCTACAACAGGCGTTACCATTGGCAGCTCAACTTAATCGTGAAGAAATTTCAAGTTGGCTCGCCATTTCAAATTCGGGTATTCCTCGACAAGCCAGACGCATCCGCGTCAACTCCACTTAGCAGCCCCAATTTTGCTGGACTCTTATCAATTTTTGCTCGTGGTCGCGAGACCTATTGTGGCAATTGTAATGCTCATCCCGATTTAAATGTAAAGGGCCATGTTGATCTCACCCTCTGCATGAAAAGGCTTTCCATTGATTTGAATCCGGAAAAAGCTGCTGATACTCCTAGCCTTTTAGCTAAACAAATTAAAATCATAGCTGTTAGTAAGGATGGAAGCGAGATAAGCCTTCATGACGCTGGACTGATTTTTGCGTATTATGTAGTGGTTGATGAGTTTAGCGATCACCCATTGGAATGGAAGGAGATTTATAGGAATATTGTATATCCTCCAAAAATACGTGATTCGGAATAAAAGAATTTCTGGTCTTTATCGATCGTGATATTGTTTTACGATGAATGATTTTAAAGAGTTCATTAGTACATAAATTTTTATTCTTTCACTTTTTTTTTTTTTAATATAATTCCGTGTCCTTTGCAGAATTCTTTATCGTTAAAATATTTTCTAGTAAAGTTTTCGAATAAGATTTGTTGTAATAATATTTATTGCTTATTTTGCGATCATTGCTATATTTATTATTTAAGAAAATTTAAATATATAATAATTTTTTTTTTTTCACGATTAAATATTCGGCATAACTCATTAGCAATGATAAAATTTTTATAGTGATTAACGAAGGAGGTATGCAAGTAAATTAATTTATTATCCGAAAACTTCTGACGATCTTTTATTTTGTATTTGGTTTCACACTAAAGAATTTTTTATTTTAATTTGGTGTTGTAGTGGAACCTCTTTTTTAAATCTTAAATATTTAAAATATCGCGCAACCATCTCGCATATTCGAAAAAACTGTTTAAATCCATCTTATCACCATTCAAAGAAAGTGAGGTCCTAACCCTCTGTCGACTTGTCGTTGCTCAAGATGATGTTTATTCCTAATGATCGAGAGTTAGCGTTAGAGAACGGACTTTTTAGAATCAAGAAACTTTGTCAAATTAAGAATTCCGGTAATCCCGAATGCTCATAATATACAGTTTATGCGTTTGATTTTTTTGCATACAATATTTTTTTTTCGGGGATCATTTTCTTTTATATCTCTTTCTACTTAGGTGACGAGGTATAATAGTGAAGTTTTCGGCGATTACCCTTAAAGTTACAGTACAATTATTCGGCTCTGACGATTATGATTGTTTATTTATGTATTTATATTTTTAATTATGTCATAAGTTAGGCAAAAATTTTTATAAAATTACACACCTTATCGTTAATGAAATCACTTAAGCATTATTTATAAAAAATTATACTGAAATTTTTTATCTAATAAAGTAAACCTAGAAATAGAGAAAATACAAACAATAAAATGAAGTTCCTTTAGTTCATTCTCAATTAAAGCAATCTAGGATTGTAAAATCGGACGGATGTTTTTCATCAATGCAATTTTGTAATGTGCTGAATATTCATGTGTTTCATAAAGCAACAAACATCCATATTTTTAGAAATTGCAAAAATGATTCTACAAAAAAAAAATTATAGCAATTCAATAAATAATAGTTTATCCACAAAAAATGATCCTTCCTCTTTCTTAACTAATAATTGTTTGATATAAAATCAACCATTAATAATTGTCCGAAGCATAGAGGAGGACCTTATACTACGCATATCGAATGCAGAACTATAGCCTGATCGACGAATGAAATTTGTGGATTTGTTGATTACCAATTTTGTGTTACGAAAATATTGTTAGTCATGTTATCGAAATCGAAATTATGTTTCGGAACAAAAAATATTATATACTTATTGTATAGTATTTAGACAATAACATGCTGTTTTCGATTGAGGCCATTTGATAGGCTCAGATTGTGCCACGTAAGTGGCGCAATCTGGCCATCAAATTGCTGAAATCGAAAATAGGAGGGTAATTGTCTAAAGACCTATACAATAAGTGTTTTATTATATAGACTCGCACAATCACACTATAAAATGAGTTTATTTCTAGTCAATTTTAATAATTTAAATTTTTTTTTTTTTTTTTTCTACAATACACTTTTTCTTTTCGAATTTTAACATGAAAGTTCCGCGAAAAAATAAGGTCAGTGTTTTTAAATTATATCATGTATTTGTAGTTATTTATTTTATGTTATTTAGTTATCTTCTTCGATTGTTTATACTAAACCTGCAAGGAACAAAAAGAATATTTTAAACAAAAGTCCGTTGTTGAAAATACTCATTTATCAACAAACAGCTGGCTTAAAAATTCGAAAATTATCGCGAAACAGTTGGACTGGCTGGTATTTGTGAGAATATCACTAACTTAAAAGACTTGGAAGAACAGATATCTGATTATGTTATAGTAATGAAACAACAAAACGGAGAAGAATATTCAACATCATCTATTATTAATGCAATGCATGCATTAAATCGACATCTAAATATGTATTCCCCACTATGACCAGTTGATTTACTTGATCAAAAGCAATTTCCTGATTTACATTTGATACTTGATGGTAAATTAAAAGAATTAGCCGAAGTTGGTAAAGGCATAAAAAAGGGATCTTCAGCTCTTACTATTGAGGAATGTTAACAGATTTTGCAATCTCCTATACTTACTCGAGAAACGCCATTAAGACTTTAAAAAGAATCTTTTTTTATAATGCAATTTTTCTTGGTCTTCGTGGTGGAGAGCATTATAAATTAAAATTTAGTCATTTTCATAAAAAATATGATGGAGGTTATGATGTAAATATTACTCGATCAAAGATAAAACAAGGAGGTATTGAAGATCCAAATAATGGTTCTGATGATAAATTACAAATTCCAGATCATCCAAGTATTATTGCAGATTATGATTTATTTTTTATCAAATGTCCTGTTGATGTAAAGGAGAATTTTTATTTACAGGAAATAACTAATGAAAATGGTAAATAATATATGTAATTTCAAAAATTTAACAATGATATCATTTATTAATTTAACTGTTATATTTTATTAGTATATATTTATAAAGGTAGATAGTATTTAAAAAATCAAATAGGAAAACTTCAATTACAAGAATTCCTTCATAATCTTGCAGTTGAATGTGGAATTTCTGTTGAAGGAAGAAAAATTACTAACCATTCTGGATGTAAATCCTTAGTTTCTTTATTAAAGGAATTAAATTTTACAGATATTTAAGTTATGTTTATATCCCAACATAAATCTATAAGTGGATTAAAGTCATATGAACAATCAAATGAAAAACTCCAAAATTTTTCATTAAATGGATTAGTTGATGCTATTTTTACATCTGATATGATTAGTATTATCAAGTTTTTATATAAAATAATTATATATTAATATATTAATTTATTTTTGTATACAGATCAAAATACTTTAATGTCATGTAGTATTACTTCAATGATCAATGATGAACAAACCCAATTTGCAAGTGATGAACATAAGCAGAATAGTAATAAAACACCTAATACAATTTCAACACTTAGCTTTCATACTGTATTGCAAGTTATTAAAAGTACTATATTATTTATTAATATTATGTTTTATTATTTAAAATACTTATTTTTATCTAAATTCTTGGTAGAAAATAATTCTTTGTAACAAATTAACATGAAAAATGATAATAAAGTGAAAATGCCACTTCAAGAAGATAAAAATATTTCTAACTTAAATATTGATTTTGAGAGTTTTCAAGATCTTTTTAAACAAAATGATACTAAAGTTACTTTTTATAATTGTTCATTTAATTTTAATAGTATGAAAAATTAATAATATTAATATATTTGTATAATATAGTGAAATTCAATTATTATATATATTACTAATAAAGTTATTCAATAAATGTAAAATATATATAGTGTAATCTTATAAGAATATATAATAAAATTTTATATTGTTAATAGCTCATACTATAATTTCATTACTAAAGTTTAAGGTCTCTCAGTGTAATGTATTGAGATAAATCGAAATTAGATGACCCCTTTATTTAGCAAGTATTAACATGCAGAATAATCTCATGCTTATAAATTATCAATAAAGAGATTCAGGTTAAATTAAAACTTATAAATTTTGATTACTAAAGAACTGAAAAAATAATTTTTATCTTGATTTATTTTTGATTCACATTTCAAATAACAAAAATCTACTCTGCATATTATCTTTTTAGGAAATTATTAACTCAATATGATATTAAAAATAGACAATTATATCAACCATATCCTAATTGAGACATTTTGAAAAGATATCATATGTTACATAAACGATGAAATAGTTTTCTTATATGCCGCAATTAATTAATTTTAAATATAAATAGAACTTTGATTTCTCTTAATCCAAGCAGAAAAAAAAAATCTTATGCTTAATTTAAATTTAAGCATTGATCTTTTTTATATAAATTTAAAGTTAGAATTTTATAAATATATACAATATACTTAAGAACTGATCATTTTGCGTAATGTATTTTATTGACTAATATTGATCATTTTATTAAACAAAATTTATATACAAAATTTATAGCTATAAAAACTAAAATTATAGCTATTGAACTAATTTAATAGAGGAAAAATATCAAAATTATCACTATTTCTCTTTAAGAATAACATTTTATCTACCAATACTGAAGACAATCAAGTTCGTCTAACTGAAATATGATTGCTAATATCTTAAATAAACCTCTCACTAGGTATAGATGCTGCAAGAATATATAAATACTTTCTTGCAATTTGAGCTAAAACTGGTAAAGTAGACTTATTAATTGACCACCACTTTAATAGATCATCCTTCAATCTGATTTACCTTTTTTACAAATAAAATACCACTTCATCATCATCTCCTATATTTGTTTTCTTATTTACTTATTGAATGCTATTAATATTAAAGAAATTTAAAAAAAAAAAATTAAATTAAATTAAATTAAATAAATAAAAAAATTAAAATTAAATTAATTCACTTACCACTGCTACCAATTTTTGATACAGTAATAATCTTATTTATCAAAAAAAACTATAAAAAAAAATTAAAATAATTAAAAAAAAAAATAATTAAATAATTAAATAATTAATAAATTAAATATTAAATTTAAATTTAAATAAATAATAAAAAAATTAAATAAATAAAACCTGATTCTTTATTGCAAAATCACCCAAATATTTCTATAAAAATAATTAATAATAAATATAAAGAAAAATAAATAAATAAATAAATAAAAAAAAATAATCCACTTACTACTTCGTTAAAAAAATTGTTATCACAAATCCTGAAATAATATAACTTAAAAAATAAATAAATAAATAAATACAAAAAATAAATTTAAAAATGAAATTAATTAAATTTAAATAAAAAAAATTAATCCTAACTAACAAAACCCCTAATTAATATTAAAAAAAATTGATAGAAATAAATTAAAAAAATAAATAAATAAATAAATAAAAAAATAAATTAAAAAACTTACTGATATAGTAACTAATAACCAAATGAACTCTTAATGAATCGGCTGAATCCAATTAGAAACTCAAGTAAAAAAGATTTCTAAAAATTAAAATTGATCGCTTGGTATATGAAATCTTAAAGAAGACTTTAGATTATATGCAGAAAGTAAAAAACAAATAATACTCAAAATTCCAACTGATCCTGAAATATAAAAAGTAAATATTAATAAATAATTCCAATTTATATACAGTAATTTTCCCTTTCACTTCACCTATTACCTTGCCATTTCACTATCTTATTATTTTCTATTTCCTTTTACTTTCTTCTATTACCTTTTATTGTTTTTTATCACCTTTACCACCCTCTACTATTCTCCATTGCCCTTACTATCCATATTTCACTACTAACTCAATTAATTAAATATGAAATCTAAATAAATTAAAATATTAAAAAAAAAATATTAAAAAAAAAAATATTAAAAAAAAATTCTTATCCACAGCCGAAATTGGTAAAGCTTACTTTCTCAGTTCAGTTCTAAAAAAAGAAGCTTTACAAAGGCAAAAAAAGATTATCAATTTAACATTTGATAATCAATTTAAGATTCAAATCTGAATCTGAATCTGAAAAAGCAGATTTAAATCTGAATCTGAACCTGAATCTGACAAATCAGATCTGAATCTGAATCCAAATCTGATGGATCTGATCTGATCTGAATTTAAATCTAAATCTGATCCAAATTTGACAGATCTAATCTGCATCTATTCTGAATCTAATGGATCAGATTTGAATTGATCTAAATCTGTGCGAAATACTAGCAGTTGTAATACAATTTTTTGCAATTTCTCTAATTTGTAATAATTGATCAATCAAATTTTATAAATGTTTTAATAATGTAATATTTTGATCATCAAGATTGTCTAGGAGTAATATTGCATCTCTCCCATATACCAAATAAAAAGAAGATATTTTTGTAATAAAATGTTTTCTTATATGATATGCAAACAAAGTTAATGCAATTTATAAATCCCAATTATCTAGATCTTGTGCTGTTTTTGCTAAAGATTTATACAAGATGCAGTTAAAATATTTCACTAGCTTATTTGTTTAGGGATGATAAAGTGTTAATAATAAATGTTTAATCTTGAATTTATCCATCAATTCTTTGATCATCTGATTGTTAAAATGAATTCCTTTATCAGAAAGGATCTTTGTAGAATATCTATATCAACAGATTATATTTTCATAAATAAATAAAATAACCTATTTCGCAGTAGCTTCAGGAATAGCTTTAGCTTTAGACTACTTAGTAAAATAATTAACAGCTATAATAATCATTTGATGTAATAGATAGAGGTCCAATGAAATCTATACTAATTTGATAAAAAGGTGCTTAAACTGGTATAGGATGTAATTCTTTATGTTTCTTTAGTTTTCCTCTTCTTTAGTAACTATTGTAAGAACAAATATATTCTCTAATATTTTTATATAATTGAGGTCATTAATATCATTTTTTGATTTTATCAAATAAGTTAGTTTTATATTAGAGTGAATTTTTCCTCTTTTATAACCTATAATACAATCATAGATAATAATACTATAAGGTAAATTCTTTTATACACATTTTACAGTATGTATAAATATGATGATTCTTAATATTACAGATAAAGATATATTGAAATTCTTCTTTATTGATGAGTTAGTTGTCTATAACTAATTTAATTTTAATATTTTCATAATATATATTTTTTGTTTTATCCTTTAGACTTTCATATCAAATTGCAGTAATCAAAGATACGTTAGAAAATTGTTGAAATATTTAGTCCTCAAATCAGATTTCTTCATTATTTTTAACAGAATTATACTTAAAAGAAATATGTTATTCATCTTCTACTTTTTCAATTTTAGCAGTAGTTATCATGAAGACTTTCTGTATATATATTCATATTTTTGATTATTATTGATTCAAGAAAAAGTATCTGCATTGATGTTTAATTTTTCAGATCTGTGCTTAATTTCAAAATCATATTGTTGAAGTTTCATAATCTATTATGTTCTTCTACCTTTAGAAATCTTTAATATTTGTAACTATTTAAAGGCTAAATGATCAGTAATAATGATAAAAGATTGTGAGCTTAAATAATGATAAAAGTATTATAATCAGATGTTGATTCTAATGATTACAGATCTACAAATATGTAGCAGAATACAAATGTTGATAATGTCAAACATATTTAAACATGTTTAACATGTTTAATATAATTAATATATCTAATATATCAGATATATCTAATATAATTAATATAGTTAATATATTACAGACCCCTGCCAAAATTCTCTAGACGCCATCTTTTGGGCTTTTTTGTACTAATTACATCATGTGACTGTAGAAAATTGCAGCTATATAATGTTTCAACCATTATTTACTAAATCAAACCAAATAAATATGTGTTTGGTTTGTTTATTTTGATTTTAGATCAAAATAAAATTTTATCTTTTTAAAACAACGAAATGTCTAAAGAATTAATAATAGAACAATGCAGTGGTATAATTTTTTGCTATCAATGCAGTGATTATTATCGAACTATTATTATGACTATCTATTAAGAATCTATAGGCCGAAGTTAAGAAAAGCATCTGTGAAAAGAAAAAATTGCCTTCCAACCTTGCTCAACTTGATCAACATGTTATAAGGACATGGAAACAAATTCTGATACAAAATATCGAAAATTTGGTTGATAGTATGCCGTAGC